TAGTCCTGTAGTCTTGATCTTGTCTACTCTAAGTAGTCCTGTACTCTTAGGCTCACTCTATATACTCTACTCTTGTCTCACTCTCTCTCTCTGCCTGTTCTACAAGTTCCAACTACATTCCAGTGCTTGTGTTCTGTATTTCTGTTGTGTAGAATAGTTGTAGCCTGAGTCCCCTTGCTGAGCCTTTGGGTCCCCTCTATACTGTTACTGACAAGTGGCTGCTGTTTGCACTAGTACAGTAATTACCCTGTACCTAAGCTCATACAATTAAGTAGTATGAAATTATGATTCAAAGCAATCACTCAATTTCTGTGTTACTACTCAATTAGGTGTCAGGACAAACCAAGACAATACGTCAGATTTTTGTTGTCATACTACCAACAGTTTAGACACACCATTGACTAGAGGGGTAAGGAAAAAGTCAGTACCAGCCTTTGCCAGAGCATGTCAATATATGCAGGGAGATATATTGGAATGTTGCATTCCTGTAGCTACAGTTAGTATGTGTGTTGTGACCAGTTGCACCTAATAAATAACCTCACTTTGTTATTCACTGCCTTGATCCTGAAGGCACTGTCGTTTCCATCTGCACCTTGGCTTGGCTTGGCACTACAAGCACTGTGCCTGTTGTTTGCTTGAGTCATTAAAGCAGGTTAGCTCGCTTGTCAGCAGTCACCGTCGGCAATGCACGAGCCAGAATAATCATACTTCGTGATTTCGCTGTTAGTGCAATTGTTCACCGCATACACCCAAGGAATGTAATTACATAACATGATTCTGTGGCCTCGTTGTCTTCTATGCGGTGCATGCGATGAACCGATCGGTTGTCTCGGGGGAGTCCCTGTCTTACGGAGCGCATGTACATACCGAGACCATTCGGTGGCCTTGATGTAGTGCGTTATGTGGAGACACTCCTCGACGTTTTGATGTTGTCTAATTTGTTATAATTTGTGTAAAGGTAAACATGCAAACAGCGGCCGTTGTACTGTAAACAACAAAAGGTTCCAGAACGCGGAAAAGGCGCACGTGGCTCAAAAAGGAAAGGATTATCCGTGCCCTGTCGATCACGCTTGTCATCCTTCACCACCTTCACAACTGACCTCTTGTCCATCCTTGAACGTGGAAACAAACTGAGAAAGTCGACAACACGGATGAAGTTGCAAGACGAAGGAGAGTCCCAACATCAGAATGGATGAGAATATACGGTCGGCACGCCCTGGGGCAGTGATTCAGGCCCCGTGCTTGTCCGCGACACGAGAAAAGCCTGCTTCCTCGCCGTGCACAGCCATGATGTCAATCAGCCAAATTGCCCAGGCGATGAAAACCGGCGCTCTTTCACGCATGTGTGAAGTATAAGAAGTCACTTGGAAACGAATTAAAAGTGCTTCTTCTATTCCTCCTCCTCCCTCCACGCTGTCTCCTGTTACCCTCCCGCCCTCCGACATGAAGGTGACGGGCTCCTCTAGTATATTCGGCACGTCCGGCGCACTCTTGACCGTACTTCTCGCGGTGACCTCCGCCGAAGCGGTTTCTTTCTCTATTCTTGGACAGTCGCGATCAGCCGTTTCGGGTTTACTTGGCAAACGAACTGTCGACATTGGTGCTTTTGGAAATGGCAGCACAATTGTACAAAGCGACGCAGATACTGTATATTCTGCCAACCTCACGCTTGGTGGCTCGGAGTTCAAGGTCTTGATTGATACTGGGAGGTGAGTGCATGGGATTCTCACACGGTGAAACATGGGCCGTAACCGACGTCGCATTTGATGAAGCTCCGACTTATGGGTCATTGGAAACGTGCCCGGAACAAAAAATCTCAGCATTGAGACTGAAGTAACTTATGCGTCTGGCTCAGCAAAAGGTGCGTTATCCATGGTATTAAATTATTTTTGCGTTATGTTGAGCAATTTGTCTAGGGTTTATTAATACAGCCGAAATGGTCTTTGACGATTTCACGGTCAAAGACCAGGCATACAGTATGTCGTTCAGACAATTTTAATCTCCAGCTTTCTCTCTCACAAAACGCTCTTCTCAAGTTAATGTCATTCCGAGCTCTGATAATCCCGACACCCAGGGTCTCATTGGTTTGGGACCAGCTTCCCTCTCGAACATCCGTTCGAAAGTCAAGAGTTCCTCTGGTGCACCTCCGCTTGACCGGATCTTCCGCCAAAATACGTCAACGCCCAACTTCATTTCCGTCCTTCTCACTCGCGAGACTGATGCAAACCCCGGAGGCACGTCGCCGCAGGCAGGACAGCTGACTATCGGATCAGTCATTCCGACGCTGGAGGATGTTACGAAACAAAAGAAGCTGCCGGCCTTGCAGGATCAGTTCGGTATTCAACATTGGCAGACACTGCTTGACGAGAACGGGATCATCGGGCCTGATAGCAAGAACATAACGACGAATACATCCATTCCTGACCCGGCGCAGGGCAATGCACACCAGTTCCACGTCATCTTCGACACAGGGTTCACTTACCCTCAAGTTCCTAGAGAAATTGCTGATGCTATCTATGGTCGTGTACCGGATGCGGTGTTTGTTCCTCAGCAGGGTACACCGGGTTACTGGCGAGTACCTTGCGACTATGAGTTGAACGTTACTTTTTCGTTTGGTGGTGTCAAGTATCCGATTTCACCTTTGGATTTGACTACGCCTGAGCAAACTGACTCCTCTGGAAAGGCGAAAACGTGCATGTCAACTGTACGTATCGGTAGTTTCTGCATGTTGTTTGTGCCGGTCACTAAAGCTTAAATTAGTTCCAACAAATTGCACCATCTGTGGCAGATCACCAAAACTTCGGGGCATTTGACGCAATCCTCGGTATGGCGTTTTGTAAGTTTTAAAATCACTTCTATTCCAAGCGATTTTACTAATTATTGAGGTAGTGCGCAACACCTACTTATTAATTAACTTCGGCGACTTCGTCGACGGCTCAAACTCCTCCGTCGCAGACCCCTACATCCAACTCCTCTCCGTCACCGACCCAGGCTCAGCACACACAGACTTTGTCAACGCACGCCTAGGCGGAGTCGACACAACCGCCTCCCAAGCAGCCTTGCTCTCCGAAGCAGACGCAAAACACTCCCCGGAGACGACAGACGACGCAGATACCGACTCTCTTAAATCTTCTTTCAGCCGTGTAAAGGACCAAGCGAAAAACCTATTCTACAAAACTTGGTGGTTCATCGTTGTCGTTTCAGTTGCTGGTGCTCTGTTATTGGGTGCGATTGCGTTTTGTATTTTCTCGAGGTTGAGGACGAGGAGGAGTAGAGTGAGGATGGAGGGTGGGTTTAGGCCTGCGATGGTTGGAACGAATTCGTATGCTCCTTTGGTTGATAATGTGTCGAGACCGCAGGGAGCACAGTATGCTCAGCCGTATGGAGCTGGTGGATATCCAGCGGGACAGTACGCGGAGCCGAGATATGACTATCATCATGCATGAGGAACGGCAGGTTTTCTTGGACTCAGCCGTTGGACTTTTCCTTCATTTACCGGATTGGATTACTATCTTCTATTTCCGTTTTCTGCTCACTCACTCTTTCTCACTCTTGTTATCTCATACCATCTCACGTATCATACGTATACTAACTTGTTTTGCAAATTTTCACTCACTCGTTTTCTTTTTCTTTTATCTTATTTGATCTGAACCGCATTTCGGGCAGTACGGACTCATTGGTATTTAACGCTGTTACACCTTTTGTCCATTCTGCATGTTCCATTAGACTGGCTCGCTCTCACGACGATCTGTTACCCGCATAGGTGAATATATGGATGGTTAATTAGATGCAGGCTTTCGAAGCACAGTTTGCAAGCCGAGGAATAGGTTTTGCTTAATGTAATCGGGCGTCCACGTCATTACAAGTGGCAGAATAGAAATAACATTAAACTCAGCTACAGCTAGAGACTATATGCTGCTAAAATAAAATAAAAATGTACCATGATTTTCCTTGATGGCATTGGAGTTATCGTGGGGTACAGTAAGCTTTAATTTTAGAATGACTTTGATCATCGCCGCCAAGACACCTGTATGTAGTCAATGTTACCACGGATGGCTACCACTCCGTCATCGAATCCCACAATGCTGAGAATGATTATAACGTGCATCGTTGAGCAATGCCTGCCTCAGTCAAACACCCAACATCATCGTCGACGGTGAAGATATGTCTACTCGTAAGTCTCTAGTACATAATATTCTTTCCGTTTCGACTTGCAATACCTGTTCATCCACTTAACCTGCCTTCTTCCCGTATTACAGCATCCCTCGGTCTATTTGTCCCACTACCCGCAAACGAGAGCCAATCGTCCGCGCTAGCCGACTTTCTGCGCGCTGGATTCTCACTTCTTCCTGGAGAACCGAAGACGCTACAGTGGTATGCTCTGAAGTACGAGAGCGCTTCGCCGACGTATGCGATCTTTGATACGTTCGCTGAGGAGGAAGGACGGGCAGCACATCTGAATGGTGAGATTGAATCAGTTGCTGGATTTGTGATATGAATCGTGCATGGATGGCGGCTGGGTTATTGAATTCTTTTTTGTTGATGATATCTTGATCATCTGAATATTGACGCATATACTTTACTTATGGCACACTTGTACGCAGGCAAGATCGCAGAGGCACTTGTTGCCAACGCGCCAACCTTGGTCGCTGGAGCTCCACAGATCAACAAGGCCCAAGTTCTAGCAAGTAAAGTTCAGAAAGCAGACGTCAAGCTTGGACTACGCGTCCTAGCAGAGGCGAAACCGAATAAAGTCGAGGATGCCAAGCAATTCCTTATCGTACGTCTTCTCGTTCAGTTGTTGAATTTCAAATTTCAAATTCAGGGAGAGGCTCTGACATGACACAATCAATATGCATGTAAATGTAGTCCGCACTTCCACTCGTAGAAGAAGAGACGCTCACCCCACAGTGGTATGCAATTCAGCTTGAAGGGACAAACGTCTTCGGAATTCTGGACTTCTCGGAGGGTGAGGAAGGAAGGTAAGCAGTTGTCGTTATTGCTACCCTCATTTGTTGTAGCACCAGCCAGGATCCGAACCTGGTTTCTATCATCACAATTTTTGATTCTTATCGTTCCTATCGTTATATTTGCTAGTGTTGTTGTGCTGGATACTGATATCAATTTGATTTTAGACAGGCACACCTCAATGGAAAGGTCGCCGCCGCGTTGTTTGCGAAGGCAGATGAACTGTTCGTAAAGACTCCAGAAGTCGTGAAGGTGGATGTTGTGGCAAGCAGGGTGCTTTGATTTGACGTTTGCCTTAGTAATATAATCGGATCTTGTAAGTAAGAGAGCGTCTGGTATGTCTGTTGTAAAAGCAAAAGGAAATTTATCATCACCACATCCCGGTCGCCTGACATCTTGGAATTTAAAATGGGAAGCTGTCTCCCAGTTCGCCGCCTTTCGAATCAGTAGCTCGATTGATTTTGAGAAGACCTTCGATCCGTCGATGGTTGCATACTCGATTACCTCCGGCGTATATAACTCAAACTATGCAGACGGGCGTCTAATGACCAAACGGATTCTTTTAGTGTAATGCCAAGTCAAGCATGAAGAAACAGAGACATCTGGCTTCCTCTCGGGCGATTGCAGTCGCCTTCAGCAACATGGTGCTACATGTCGGAGAGGACAGGAAGTTGAAACAGTTCGTGGCTCGCAGTTCGATGCAGATGGTTAACAGGAAAGGGCTGACTGAATGGAAAGTAAGTTGCAGATCGATTATGTAAACTTCATCAATTCGGAGTGTGTGAAAGCCGACATCATCTGGTTCATCATCAGGGACAGGTGCCTAATGGGCCTGCGGATTCTGTTAACACCTCCATCTTGCCGCTGAAGGACGATAAAGCGCTCATATTTCAGAGAAATAGGGGTACGTTTCGATCTTTATGATAGAACGTTATCGAAAGTGTCGCTCATTGAACATTGAGCAACTTTTCTGTTATATTCCGCATTTTTATGAGGGAGTTGAAATTCGATTAGAAAAACATATAATTTCGTTTTCTGCATTCAAGACGTGTTGGAAGCATTTCTTTCACCCTTTCGGCATGTGCGGATCGCGTCCGACAACCGACGAGATCTGTGCGGGAGATGTAACGGAGAGGCTCCGCTTAAGAACCCTATCTTCCGACGATCGGACAATCTCCGAAGACTCGAGGATACTCAACCGTCTCCTTGACCTTCAAGTTGAACAACTCGAATTGCTCGAGATACCAGTTGGCTGGTCGTACAGAAGTCGACTGAATGATCTTCAGGGCAACGTCCATCGATGGTAGCGATGGCAGGCAATGCAAGAATAGATAGGGACGGGATCGCAAAGCACCGCAACGGTTCCGAGCAGAACGGGCTGTGCAGAAATCAATCTCTTCTAGAACTAGCGTTGGCGCCCACGTTACGCATCGTTTATACACCGTTCGGTACTCGACCCTAGTTGCCGCATTTTGATCATATCCCACTTTCACCCTCCTCCCCACTGCGGGTTTCTTGCTCCGCGATTCGACCTTCTGCAGGTCATCGACGAAATCCTGCGCCGACGCTGCTGTCAATTTGCACGTAAGACTGTCCCGGCATAATGGCTCGGTCACAGAAGTTGGTCGCGGCTTTAAGTCTGGCCTCGTCGTGGATGCTATGTTTGGCGCAGGATAACCCAACTGGCGCATCAGCCTTTCAATGGACTTTTGGCAGCAACGTACGTGTTTTATTCTATACACATTTGATGAGTTGAACCCATTATTTCCCGTTGGTACTTCAGATGATTTCGACGGACTTGACGCAGTGTAAAACGTATGGCCTTTCCATCATGGCGCTCCCCACCAATTCCAGCAGCTTTGGAACACCCCCATACTACATGATCGCGTGGAAGCCGGATGGCATTCCAACTGTCTCTTCCATTGGATCGGACCGTAATAATTTATCCTGGACCGTCAATCTTGCGAGTGGTAAGTAGAAATCTCGTGCAATATTGTTATTTTCTGAGCCTCTCTGATATTATTGTCTTGAAGGTTCCACACTTCTTGTGACAGTCACCGATAGCCAAGGGTTTTCCGGTGGAGAGTCACCATACCTTTACACTGTTTCCGGTTGGTTTATCTCATTTTTTTTGTACAAGACTTCAATTAGCTGACTAGGGTCCTGAAGACGGCGATTCGAGTTGCCTTCCTTCACCACCCTCGACGAACATCACATTGGCCGCAAATCTTTCTACGTCAGATCCTTTAGAAACATGCGAGCTACTGGGTTTGCGTGTTTTTGGTGGCCAAAAGCCATACACTATTTCTATCGCAGCCGTAAACTCGCCTGTAGTCACCAATGTGACGTTGGGCGGAAATGACGACGTGTTGACTTGGCCAAATCGAGCTGATCCAGATGGTCAAGTAATGGGTACGTTCATGCATAGTGGTATCTTCCAAGCAAGCACTTATGATTATCCGATTCCGATGCGTCAGCTTCCGTATCAGATGCAAATGGGGTATGGGGTACGAGTACTGGATTATTCAAGACTACTGGACAGGCTGTGACGGATCAGTCGTGCACACTATCAACCCAATCGGGGAACTCAGCCAATGTTGATCAAAATCCGCCGCAGCCGTCTAAATCACACGCAGCAGTCATTGCTGGTGTGATTGTACCTGTCGTTGTCCTAAGTCTTCTCGCTGGGTTAGGATACTACCTCTGGCGCAAACGACAGCAGAAGCAACGCGAACCTGAACCTGCTTTCCTGCCGGACGCGTGGATGGGCCCGTCCATCATGGAGACAGGAACAGGTGCAGCGTCAACTTATTCCCCGTATGATCCTCCACCAAGTGCAAAGCTTGCGCGATATCGTGACGAGATGAGCGCTACCCATTCCCGCACCTCATCGAGCCAAAATGCGATAGGAATGGGATACCTTTCACCGACGATGCCTGGGATGGTCCGGCAGTCCACGTTCGATGGACATAGCGGCAGTCTGTCAGGGTCGTACTCGCATACCGGCTCTGCAGGAGGTGGAAAGAGTGATCCCCGATTACCGCCAGGTGTTTCGAGCGAATGGACAGTTGAGCCTGAAATCGTTATTCAGCATCAGGACGCCGGTGCTGTACAAGAGATTCCGCCTCCATACCAAAATCACAATGCTGCTCCGGCGCAATCAACCGGTCCCGCTGCGCCTCCTAGCTCAGCCGGGTTGAGTGTTGTGGACTCCTCGACTGCCACGAGTCGACCGTCAAGCTCCGGTGATCAATCCGCTGGAAGCTCCGCACCTTTACATCCCACTCCGACTCTGAATAAAGGGAAAGGAAAAGCAACGGACCTCCTTACGTAGACAATTCTTAGCTCCTTCACTCTTTTAGTCTGTGTTGTACAATATGCTGTTTTATAGTCCCCACAAATACTCTACTCTACTTTTTCCTCTACTCCTTTCATGACTTCTGTTTGACGCTATTTATGCCTCTTTACCCTTTGTCCTCTTTATCCCTTGTCTACAATAACCCTCCTTCCTTTACTACCGTTTCTATCGATGGGTTATATCTTACTGTCGCCAAGTTGACAGACGTAATTTACCAAGACGTTCGCGCCCCTTGATCCTTTGACCTTCTGCACGTCGGATTTATTACCTTTCGTTCATCTTGCATCTATATCACCTTTTCGCTAAATCCCGCAACCCTCATTTGCATAGCAAGGGAGTCCGCAGCAGACCGAGCATGTAGAGGCCACGCTGTTTATAACTCCCGAGTATGTAATCTACATGTCTCAATGAAAACGCTTTAAATCCAAGTATCGCGTGCCTGCCGGTGATTGATGAGAACACACTTGTAAATGCACTCGTTTGCCGCTCGAGTCTGGTCTGATCCCAACTTCCGCCTACTCGTATTTGCCTCGCGGCGGACGCAGTCACTCTCACTCGCTCTCTGCACAAATCTTGATGCAGACCGTACAGGGTCTTGTAGCAGAAGGAGGTCCTCCCAGCTTTGTCCTCCCACAGAACCGTCGGTCAACCAGCATACCGGGTGCACCATCATTATTATGTACACGTTCTCAGATTATTTTCCTCCTTAATTATTACAGATAGCAATGTATTGTATAAATATTTCAATATAATTATTCTATTTATTTTAAAAATGTATAGCTTTGTATAGTCTGTAAAACATTACAAACATATATTATACTTTGAGATTATTGAAGTCCTTATTATACCTTTCAAAAAAGGGAGGTCTGATATTTTGCATTTTATATGTTTAAAAGAGGTATTGCCCTTATACACTTTTATTACATCAATAAACCTTATAGTACCTTATACAAGGTTATACCACTTTATTATAAGTTGAGGTCTGATAATACACAAATTGCTTTTTTTAAACCTTTTTCACACTATTATATTGTAATATAACCATTTTAGACTTTTCCCTAATAGTTTCTTTAGTCTACCCCTCTTCTTCTCCTTTACATACTTGTTCTTTGTTTTTATATATTTACAATAAATACAGAACATAGTAAATGTAGACTAGTATAGCATTTGAGTTAAACTCTTACATTGACCTTACTATCTTCTAAGTATAATGATTTGTCTTATAGTAAGTATAGTATACTTGAATCTTACTATGATATAGTTGGATACAATACAAGCAAAGTGTAACACAACTACTAGCAGAGCAATTGTATGTATTTGTAGCAAAGATATGAGTATTTGTAATGTTTTAAGACAGTGTGTCTTGATATACAATAGTATACTATTACATACTTTTTTTTAAAAACTAGCAGTTACAGATATACAGCTGTAAACACTAGAGCTTTGTAGTATAAGATTATAATATGTGGAACATTATATAATAGCTCATGTACTAATTCACTGTTCCTGATATAGTCTCATTTGGGCCACCTGACGCCAGCAATTCTCTCCGGGTGACAACTATCATGCTGCCTCTGCCTACATTCCCTCTTCCTCTATCACGAGGTGCACCTCCACCTGGATATGGTTGGGAAGAGTGTAGTATATCGATGTTGTCTACAACTTCTGTATTTAACACAAGAACAAACGAAAGAGACAAATTTCTTGGTCAGAATCACTGCATCATCTGTGGAATATCATACAGGCGTTTACTTGAACATTGCCATATTATAATGAAGTCAGAATCGGCGTTTGTGAGTAGAAATTTGCTTCTGAGTGTGCCTCACCCTCTCCTGTGAAGCTAACGCGATGCATAGTGGTCCAAACTCAAGACCTACGGGTGGATTCCCCAACAGGCCAAAGAACATCCAGAACGTGAGCAACGTAACAGCCTGTATATGTGTGCCCATCATCACCTCACTTTTGATGCATATGACTTCTTTATTTGATTCAGCCCTGATGTTAGTTTATTCCATCATTGCTCTGAACCGAATACTCACCAGAGGCAGATTCGCAAGTTTGTGTTCGTCAACTACTCTGAGGAAGAGGCTCTTCGACAATACCACGGTAAAGCCGTTGCCCTCGATGTGGGAGAACGCTATGCACCCTTTCCTTCCCTATTCATCATCCACGAGATGCGCGTCCGTGGGTTCAATCCCTTTGGGCCCATTGATGATGACATTCCTTGGCAAGACTGGATCTTATCGGACGGTGTATTGATGGACAACACGTCCAACAATTCATTGAATTACTTCAATCGTGACAGTCTCCCCCACAACAGTGGAAGCAATGCACTTGGTCAACCACGGGTGCAGTTTCAGCATAGGACGACGACAACGGGTGGTGGGTCGTCTGGCAGACGTACACTAGTATTAAATGACAACTTGAACGTCATTGCCGACATTCTCGCAGCGACACGTGCGTCACCATCGTGGAAGGCTTGTCAGATGGAGGGCATGGGCTGGAGTGGTACTACAGAAGAGAATATCCAGAAATATGTCTCTGCTTTTGATGTGCAAGATCCTTGACAATAGCCTGAGACACTTAGTTGAGTAGTCTTTTCAAAGATACAAATTATCTTTGAAAAGACAATTTTGAAGAAAGTGGTAAACAAAGTGATTGTAGCTACAAATTAAATGTATTCATTGTACAGCACCCAAGGCACTGAATACTATTGTTGAGATTGAGACTTATTTCAGATCACATAGGAACAACAAAGTAAGTACACACTGAGGAAAATGGCATTCCATCAGTAAATGATACACAGACAACGTTGGATGCCTCAAGTCAGTCAGCACATCAGAGAGCTGCTGTCAAATCTTCCAGATGAACTTGAAGGATTACGCAAGATCTTGTACTGGACCTACTGGTGCTGACCAAGTTCAGCGATTGCATCTCTGCACCACCAATATCTGCTCTTATCTTAAGCCACGTCTGCAAGCACTGGCGCAAAATTGCATTCTCCACTCCAAAGCTCTGGACGTACACCAGCCTCGGCGCACCTCGTCATCATTGCGAGTCTGCGACGGAGTTGATACTGCTCTGGGTCAACAACTCAGAGATGTGTCCGTTGGTCATCCATATTGATTTCTACAAGTTTGCAGCATACAAGGCACGTGATGCAATTTTGCCGACGGTGATGGAGTTGACGGGGCTTGCTGCTGAGCTGAAGCTGTCATCTTCCGATAACTCTTCTGACATGCTGTTTACTGTCATCGCTCAGCAGTCCGTATCTATTCCGTTTCTGTACCTTGCAGAAGAGTATCTTTGGTCGAACGAAAATGATCTTCTGAGGAACTATGCACAGGGATCGATGCGGTTGCGTGTAGCAACATACGGTGTACCTTGCTAGGGATGGACGGAAATAAAGAAGTCGGTCCGTATCTCGTTCATCTGGACCTTTGTGATGAAGAACGCGTGATCTGCTTGACCACCGAGGAAGCAATGGATATCCTAACGGTATTCCAGAATCTGCGTCATCTCACGTTCAGACTATACCTGGGCAGGCAGACGAGGCGCTGCACCGGTCTTGAACTCCTTATCGGCACCGCAGCTGCAGAACCTGAACGCTATAGTAAGCATGAACGACTGCGACATTGTAAGGCTCCAGTTTTGCACACGACTGTTTCTTATAGAGTCTTGCAATTAGCGGACGCCGGAGTGGATCGACACTTTTGACTCTTTCGTCCGCGTTCTCTTATCTTTTTTTTAGATTGGGCTCGAGAAACACAAGCTACGAGATCTGTGTGAGATGCAACGGAGAGTATCGCTTGACCTCCATGCCTTCCGACGATCGGTCGTTCGATTTGGGTAAATTTGACTTAGACTTGTCTTGAAGCTGTACAGGTCCGGCTCGAAGAACCCACGAAGAGCCAATTAAAGATACAGAACCCCGCCCGATGATTTTCAGGGCAACTGTTGGTTATTAGTGATGAAGAGGTCTAGGTTGGATCGCAAAGAGCGTACTAGCGTTTATACATACCATTTGAGATGCGACTCCGGCGCTACACTCTGGCCACTTCCCACTGCTAAGTTCTAATCTCCCAATTCTGCGGTCTTCTTGCTTCACTTCGCGATACGACTTCCTGCAGATTATTGACAAAATCCTGCGCTGACGCGACACGTAATATTGCCTTGACATCATGGCTCGTCCGCAGATGTTATTCCTGGTCTTAATCTTGGCCTTGTCGTGGATGTTATGTACTACGGAGGAGAACAAGACAGGAAAGCATGCCTTCAATTCAGCAACAGTGTACGCCCTCATTTCCAAGGCATTTGCTGATTTGATCCCTTTCTTTGGTTAATATAGATGATTTCGAGGGATTTGACACAGTGTAAAGCTTATGGGATCGTCATCTCGGCACTCCGCGACAATTCCAGCAGCTTTGGAACTCCCCCATATTACATGATCGCATGGAAGCCGAGAGGCATTCCAACTGTGTCGCTCATTGGATCAGACCGTAATAATTTATCCTGGACCGTCAATCAAGCGAGTGGTGAGCAGAAATATCGTACTTCTTTCTGCGAGTCGTTGATAGTTTTGCAGGCTCTTCCCTTTTGCTCACGGTCGCTGACAGCCAAGGGCTTTCGGGTGGAGAGGCACCATTTATTTACAATGTTTCCGGTTGGTTTATTCCGTTTGGTACATAAATTCATCCAGCTGACTTGGATGTCGAAGACGGCAATTCGAGTTGCCTTCCTTCGCCACCCTCGACGAATATTACGTTAGTTGCAAATCTTTCTACATCAGATCCTTTAGAAACATGCGAGCTACTGGGTTTACGCGTTTTTGGTGGCCAAAAGCCGTACATCATTTCTCTTGCAGCCGTAAATTCTTCTGTAGTCACCAATGTGACGTTGGGTGGAAATGACGATGTGTTGACTTGGCCAAATAGAGCTGATCCTAACGGACGAATACTTGGTATGTTCATACTGCGCAGCATATTCCAAGGACCACTCATGTATATCGAATTTCATGTATCAGCTGCTGTTTCAGATGCGAACAGCATATGGGGCACCGGCACTAGGTTATTCAATACTACTGGACAACCTGCGCAACCCGACCCGTGCATGGGAAACCCCTCTACAGATAATTGAGCGAATGTCGATCAACATCCAAAGCAGCCGTCGAATTCGCATTTGGCGGTCATTGCTGGAGTGATTGTACCGATTATTGTCGTGTTCCTTCTTGGCGGGTTGCTGTACTACTTTTGGCGCAAACGACAGCAAAAGCTGCGTGAGCCCGAACCTGCTTTCTTGCCTGACGCTTGGATGGGTCCGTCCAGCACGGAGCTCGAAACAGGTGGAGTGTCGACTTATTCTCCATATGATTCCTCACCAAGTGCCAAACTTGCACGATATCGGGCCGAGATGAGCATTTTGCATTCCCGCACCTCATCGAGCCAAAATGCAACAGAAATTGGGTCTCTTGGGCAGAGAATGCCTCGCATAGTGCAGCAATCCACGTTCGACAGACATAGCGGTTTTAGCAGTGAATCAAATTCGTATTCGCATACAGGTTCTGCCGGAGGCAGGAAACGCAATCGCCGTTTACCTCCAGGTCTTCCAAGTGAATGGACAGTCGAACCCGAAATTGTCATACAGCATGAGGACGCCGGCGACGTACAGGAGATCCCTCCTCCATACCGAGATCGCAGTGCTGCAGTAAACTTCTCTGGACCTTCAGAGCATCCCAGCTCATCTAGGTTGAGCGTCATGGACTCTTCGACCATCACGAGTCGATCGTAGTGCTCCGCACCGTAGCGTAATTTACGGATACGCCTGCAGCGTATACGCTTACGCACCGTATCGTAAGAGAAAATTTTAGCTGAAAATACGGGCGTATATTTACGCGCGTATGCGTATACCATAAGTAAAAAATTTCCGTATACGCCGTATACGAGTATACGGTATTACTAAGCATATTCTCTAATTAAATACTAAGTTTGAGTTTCTAAACCTCATTTACTTTACTTATTTATATACCAAATCATTTTAATACTATATAACAACCTTGTTTAAAAAGTACTACAGTTAGTATGGTTACTACAGTACATCACATTAGGCCCTAGAATGGATGGGGTTTTCCATGGATCCATACCACGGTAAGGAA